TTACTGTTTTTGACTTTCTATAAAATTCTAATATAGATTTGGTAATATGGATATTATTTGGATGAAATTGATAAAAAAAAATCAAAACCTATAATTTATTTGATTATAAAAGTTTATTGATTAGTCTYAAAGTATAAAGTAAATTAAGTGGTAAGAAAGAGCGGTCTAAGGATTTGTAAAACCATCAATTTCTTCTTAAAGTTATCTATTCTTCAAGTTTATCCTTTCCACCGAGTATGATAACTGTCCAATTTAAATGTTATGTATTTATCTATTTTATGTGGTCATATTTTTTTTTTTTTTACAAAAAATTTATGAGATCAGTGAAAAATATTTTTATGTTGAATGTTCATAAATAATAGGACTTTTAGATATGTTTTCGTATAAAATTGTCGTTTTTCGCTTCAACTAGTTTAATTACTGTTTTTGACTTTCTATAAAATCCTAATATAGATTTGGTAATATGGAAAATATTTGGATGAAATTTATAAAAAAAAATGTTAAAACCTATAATTTAAATTTGGTAATATGGAAACTATTTGGATGAAATTAATAAAAAATGTCAAAACCTATAATTTGTTTGATTATAAAAGTTTATTGATTAGTTTGAAAGTGTAAAGTAAATTAAGTGGTAAGAAGGAGCGGTCTAAGGATTTGTAAAACCATCAATTTTTTCTTTGAAGTTATCTATTCTTCGAGTTTATCATTTTCACCGAATATGATAACTGTTCAATTTAAATGTTATGTCTTTATCTATTTTATGTGGTCATTTTTTTTTTTGCAAAAATTTTATGAGATAAGTGAAAAATATTTTTTATGTTGAATGTTCATCGAAAAATACGGCTTTTAGATATGTTTTCGTATAAAATTGTCATTTTTCGCTTTCAAATAGTTTAATTGTTGTTTTTGACTTTCTATAAAATCTTAATCTAGATTTGGTAATATGGAAAATATTTGGATGAAATTGATAAAGAAAAAAAATGTCAAAACCTATAATTTGTTTGATTATAAAAGTTTATTGATTAGTGTGAAAGTATAAAGTAAATGAAGTGGTAACAAGGAGCGGTCTAAATATTTGTAAAACCATCAATTTCTTTTTAAAAGATATATATTATTCGAGTTTATCATTTCCACCGAGTATGATAAATGTCCAATTTAAATATTATGTCTTTATCTATTTTATGTGGTCATTTTTTTTTAATAAAAAGTTTATAAGATCACTGAAAAATGTTTTTATTTTGAATGTTCATCGAAAAATACGACTTTTAGATATATTTTCGTATAAATTTTTTGGTTTTCGCTTTCAACTAGTTTAATGTATTTTATGGAAAAGAATCTACTAGGAACTATGCTATTTTTTTATTCATTTTGATGATAGAAAAATCAATTGTAGTGTAAATACATTTTCTCTGGATTTACACGAGTTGAAATTCTCAGAAACATATCATTTTAAAGGCGACCATCCAATTTCTTTCTAATGTTTCATAAGCTAACTCTAAATTTTCAAT